TTTCATTAGAATAATTTATAGTGAACATTCTAACATCAACAAAATTTCAAATTAAAAAAAGTCTAAAAAATCATCACATTCGAAACACGACTCCTTTTTGTTAAAGCGTGTTAAAATCTAAGGGAATTAAATTTGACAAAATAACATATATTCTACTAGAGGGCACTATTTTCAAGGGGAAAACGGCGTATTTCTTAATCTTTTCTATTCGACTGTAAAACAGCTGAATTAAAATAATCTAATGTATAACAATTAAAACCTAATAAGATATCACCTGTCCGATAAGAGTCCTAAAGACTTGAATAAACGTATTTTACCTTGTGCATAGATAGAAAGGGTGAGTCAACTGAAAATTAGGTTGAAATCCTTAAGTAATGATACGTAATGAATATTGTTTATATTAAATGCACGTTGAAACTACAAAACAGAAATGCGACGTTTTTTCCCTAAATGGGTGCCAAAGGCTACCTCTAGGGGGGTCAGTTGTTTTAACCACTCGCACCACTGTACACTAGTGTGTTGTCTGTCAGTCAGTAGACACTGAAATGACTCATATAAGGGATGACATTTAACGTTACAATTTGTACTGTCGTGACATCAGTAAAACGTGCGTTTCCATGAATTACGAGAAGAATTATGCGCTCTGTAGGTTACAACACAGCATGACACATGAAATTCAAAAATAAGAAACAAATATGATATTAAAAATAAGAAATAAAAATATTTGTTACTCTTAAGGTTTTATATACTCTTGAAACGGAACACATCCTGGAACCCTGCGGAAGTACATCTAGTATTACCAGCTATTTTATCCGTTTAGGAAGTACTTTTCTCTCAATAAGTAAGTAGATACACAGAATATTATGATGCTACGCAACTGACACCATACAGAGATGGAAGCAAGAATATCTTAATGTGAAATAAATAAAAGTAGCCTCCTGCCAGGTATTAACAAGAGATGGCAGCACCATTACCTCTGAAGGTTTCTCTGCAAATGAATTGTACGTGCTAAAATATAGTGCTCAATTAACTGGCAGAATAAATAAAACCTTTCGTGTTGTTCAGCTAACTAAAGCGATATGGTATACACATACAAAAAATACATTAGAGAAATATGTGTACAATACCAAAATATGTTTTATTTGAAAACCGAGAACAATCAATCCATTGTAATTTTGACTTGAAATACCTATTTAAAAGAACGACGCAGCCACAGTGAAATGAGAGAAGTCCCAAATTATCAGTCATTGCTCTTGCTAACTTAGGCTCTACTTGAAGCAAAATGTCTCTATTTAACTGTCCAGAACAAAGTTTTAAAGATTTTCACATACAACTCATAGAATACATACAATGTAAATGTTTAAAAAGTTTACGCACTAAACGTTTGAAAAAAAGCTTATTTTGAATTTCGTGCAAACTACACGAGGGTTATCTGTGCTAGCCGTCCCTAATTTAACAGTGAAAGACTAGAGGGAAGGTAGCTAGTCATCACCACCCACTGCCAACTCTTGGGCTACTCTTTTACCAACGAATAGTGGGATTGGCTGTCACATA